TATAGCTGACTATTTGTTGAAGGTTATGTATAAGTGAACAAGGTTCAAAAATTATAGGAATTGGTTGAATAGGAATAACATGTCTTTTCCATTATGATCACTGAGTTGAGTAATACAAAATTGGTTATAAAGATTTCAAATAAAACCTCCATCTGGATTTTTGACTTGATCAACCAATAAACATACAAGTTCATTATTATTTGATGCAAATAAATGCAATTTATCTTCATATAAATATCTTGCTAAAGCTGCTGTATACCCAATATGAAACAAGTCTATATATTGTTGTTGTGTTTTTATACTAACTGGATAAAAACTAAAAGAAACAACTAAATTTAGTAAATGATTGTGAGCAAAACAAAGATTAATCTCTAATAGGTAAGAAATTGTAAGATTAGATTTTTCCAATTTAAAATCAAGTAGAGCAATGCAATTTGTATCTTTATTTTGAGGACTATGAGGATTTTTAACTTGACGATTCTTATTTTTCTGTTTTACATATGACTATAAATACAATTGCATGTCTCCTGAAAGATAACTTTAGTTCTCTTAATTGAATAAGTTTAAGTAAGTCTCATAGTGGTTTTTAAAAGTTCTTAAAAATTATTTAACCATTTCGAAGTACTTTCTTTGTCATTAATATTCACATACAAACACACTTTAAGTTGTCTAATATTCACATTTTTGATTGTAATTATTGGTTCAAGTTCACAATAACTTTCTATTTGATAAATATATTCTGGTGGAAGAATTTGATGAAGTGGAACTAGTAAACCAATTAGATTTGATTTTTCACTTTGCATTTTTTAATTTTATTATTCTTTGATGATGTACGCAAATGAAATAAAAATAAATAACAATGAATAAAAGAAATATATAAAATAAAACCATTGTCGTTATCATTATAATATTTATTAACCATTGTCTTTATCAATATTACATTATTAATCATATACGTATTAATGGTCCGGAGTAGTCAGCCCAGATATCACGGGATCGTCCGGAGCGCAACCTTGTAAACATTTTCGGTATGCTAATTAAATTAATCGTGTAATCATGTAAACTGTCCTACTTCCTGCTTAAAAGTAACATGCGAAAAATAATTTCAATAGTTTACGTCGATTATTCACAACCATATGCATTAATTTATATGCGATAATTTATATTATTCATTTATCCATTCAATATGCGACACTGTGGTTAAGTAATGTTACATGAACACTAAAATCTTGAGTTATTTTTAATACAACATTTGCCGTTCTCCTTCGTTCTCATTACAATAATTTACATCTTCACTTAGAAACGACCTCACCCTTCTATCATAAGGCTCCACCATGTTACAAGTTAGACTTCGGTATTTTACACAGGAACAGACAAACTTAGAAGTGCCCCCATACTTATTTAATTTCACATGTGCTTACATCATCGGTTTGACTATCATATACGTACGTACAATAGACTCTTAAATCACATTATTAACCTACTGGTGAGGGATTATATCCATCACAATTGAATCCAACATAAATAATTTAACTGGTGATTGATCACAGGCGAGGGGGTATTCACTTTGGATCGGGCAATGTCTCTGAACCTACTAATTACTTTGTATAACCTCATGTGTTAAATCAAAATCCGACATTAAATAAGCGGCCATATGTTCAATCTCTAATTTATTTATTCATAATGAAAGATTTACGGCAGTTATTATAATTCTGAAACGTCTGATAAAAATTAACCGAATGGTTTCTCGACCGATTCGACTAAGTTTGTAATTTCTGCATAATAGATTCAAATTGATATATATAATCTACAGCTATTATCATAATTTCTGGAACAACTAGTTAGTGATTTCAGCATAATCGGTATATAAATTTCATAAATTTTACATATAAATTAGTTTGTAATTTGATATATATGTACATGTTATCGCACAAACTCACACTTAAACATGGTATAAACGAAAATACCAGGGACGGAGTGATGAAATCACTAAGTATATGGCTTGTACGATGTTTGAAGTGGTATCCGTCCGCAAAATCATAAGTTTGATTGGTCCGCGTGACTTATTCATCAAATTTTGGTTATTTTTCACACATGAATTCATCACGCACATGGATAATTACAGATTATAATTTGAATACGAAAAAAAATGCAAACGTAAGCGATGTCATAGTTACGATAACTAACATAGTATGCAAGAATTTTAAACTCAAAATTGGTAACCCGATACAGATTAACTTGTCTATTTACCTGATATTTAACATTTTTCATTCTTTTTTCGTAGGGTTGATTAAATGATAATCACTGATCGTCAAAGACAATAGCAAAACAATTTTCGGATAACTTGATAACCAGATAATTTATTACATGTTGCCTTGTAAACTTTTGTTTGATTAGCTAATGCGAGTCGATTACCTATTGTGTATATCAAATGCTCACAATATATTAATGGGATGCTAGATCAGTTCTCGTTTGTACGTTACTTGGACTATTGGCTAACTACTATATTTGCTTTCGTTCCGGTTTCTTGCGTGACTACATCTCACAGCTACCTTATTATGTAATACCCTTCAAATCATTTAATTCGTATTACTCATTCATTCAGTGAGTGAGTATAAAGACCATTTATTAGTCATTGGGATTAAAAACAGCAAATCAAGTTCACAAATCAAGAACATAAATACTTATTTACCATTACTATTATGCAATATTCTTAAAATCATTTCATTCCTATTAATTTAGTTGGTAAGAATAAAACTATTTACATTCAATATAAAGTTTATAATAGCATAGCACATGAACCAAAATATTATATTATTTATAATTGTTATATATTGTGATTGTAAGGCGACTCTAAATTTAGAAAATGTAAATCTTGTAATGAATATAACACGCAACTAGCGTGGTGTCTATTGTTGGGTTCGGAAGATTGCGACTCTGTATGATAAGTAACCTTTTCGAAAGAGGGTGTTAGATTTAGCTGGTGAGTGATTAAGGCTTTCAGTTACTTAGGGTCAACGAATACAAGTAGGGTAAGTCACGTGAACAAGAACTCGAACGAATATCGAAGTTTATGGGTGTTTGCAGGGTTTATTCTGGGATAACGTTAGTATTTTATTATAGACGTTATAATGTATTGGAACTTGTATTTTTAATAAAGCCAACGAAACGTACTGCTCCTAAGGGCCATTTCGGCCTTTATTTATATTATCTTTTTAATTATAACTTCATTAATTACATTAATCTCATTAAACCCTTTAATTCAATTTCTCTAATTTATTCACTTAAACCCATTTACTTAATAAATGCTCCTTCTCTAATTAATCCCTTTTCTCTAATTAATATCACTTCCTTGATTTATTTAATTAGGCTAGCTGCGTGACATGTGATGCCATGCAGGACCAGTACAATCAGGTATTTATAAACTATTTTTATTATGAATTTACTATTTGTGTGATGTTTGGTCATTGAAATTTTTTATATTCATGATTATATTTGTAAAGTTTGCAAAATACAATATTGAATAAATTTATTATAATTTATTCATTTTTTTGCATGTCATACTAGGAACATAGTATAAAATATGAAGTGTATAGTTTATAGACAAGTTTTTGTGATAGAAATTTCAAATTTTATTGGATAGCATGATCAAAAAATGCGATGATGTTAAATAATTATTTAAATTTAGTTAGATTAAACATTTATTTTTGTAATATATTAGGTGTTCGTATATATCATTAAATACTTGTTAATATAAATTTCGATCGAGTGGAAGTTTATTAAACCTCTTTTTCTGCACGATAATTTAATATTTTGTTATTTTCACCCAACGTCAGAAATTTCAAATACAGCATAATAATTAGAAAATCGATTTAACTAACCATAACCTCAAATTATGAAATCACTATTACAAAACCATTGTCACAACAATCTATCTCTAATAAGTATAATATGAACTCCAACCATGACAATCAATTTATAGCACCTGATACACCGTAAATTCTTGCACCATATCAAATGTTCACCGTTTATGTATGTTATCAATCAACAATCACAATCCCAAGAAAAAATTTTGTACAGTAATTTACATCATGATTTCAGTACATACTTAAGCACATATTATTAGGTATTCCAAGTAAAACACTGAAATATATATTCAAATTAAAATCACACAGTCACAATACTTTCCAAAATAGGAAAAACATTTTTGATTGATTTTTCAGTAGGCCTGATAACTACTATATACAAACCTATGCTAGTAAATTTATCGTCATAATTATACGAATAATATGCATTCTGATACTCTAATCATATAAACAACCCAAAAATGGTAAAGTGGAATTCATAACTCAACGTTACTAAACTATACTCTAGACTATACCTCAAACAGAAAAAAAATGATAATCATAATACCTTCTAAAATAGGAAAAAATATAGCTCACCAAAAAGTTGAACAGAACCATCCCTCACATATTTCATATGATCATACTGGTATTAATCGCATTAATGTGATTAATTGCTGGGATATCTATATTGAGGAATAGATTGTCATATCCGTTCTCATGTGAGGCTATGGCAGAGTATTTTCGTCACATTATTGGACCTCACAACCCTAACAGAGTAACAAGGTGGACAAGTAGAAATAAGGATATTGATGATTGTATGAAAGAATTCCAGCTTAAAACTCATGTGTATGAAGATGCAATCGAATGGATTCTATTTGAAAAATATCTGGTGTTAAAGAAATCAGTAAAGGAGGATTTGGATCTGTGTATTCAGTGATCTGGCTAGATGATATATGAAAAATTGATGGTAATAACAAAAGATCACATTAACTATTGAGCAATGTTGCACTCAAGATGTTGGCAAGTTCCAGAGAAAATAATTTTGATTTTTTAAAAGATTTAAGTTAATAATTAATTATTGCTTTTATAATTATTGAATCTTAATAATTAGTTTATTTAGTTAATTTATTGTTTAAACCTTAAGTTAAAAATCTAATGGCATGTAAATTATAATATTATAGAATTAAGCTCGCAATATCTGAAATAATTCAAAATTCAGAAACAAATGAATACTTAATGGTATTTCAGTATGCTGATAATGGAAATCTTTGAAATATTTAACAAAAAATTTTAGTAAACTCACGTGGCAGTCAAAATTACATTCATATGGTTGTGGAATATTTACATAGCAAACTACGTCTATGCCGATTTTCATAGTGACAATATTTTGCAAGGCCAACGCACCAATGAAAGTATACAACCTTATATCACAGATCTAGGATTATCTAGAAAGAATAATAAATGTGATTCAGAAGGAGATATATGCCTTATGTTGCTCCTGAAGTTTTATCAGGCGAACAACGGTTTACACAAGCACAGATATCTATGGATTTGATGTTATTATGACAGAAATAACAACTGATCGAAGACCTTTTACTGGACACAAATTTAATGCTAAGCTTGAAGCAGATATTTGTAACAGATTATATTTTAAATTTGAATTTGGAACACTTAAATGTTATGTGGAATTTGCAAAGGAATGTATGAATTCTGTTTCAGAAGAATGGCTTGATACTAAGAATGTTTATAATACAATAGATGGTTGGCTTAATAAGATAATTAGTTCAGATGATAATGAAATTAAAAAGCAATTCTTAGATGCTGATAAAATTATAAAGAAATTCTTAGATACTGATAAAATTACTAAATCATCAAAGCATTCTATCGAAATATATACTAGCAAACTTATTAGCACAAAATTGATTCCAAATGAAATCAATAGTATTTAATATTTAACTAATTTATTAAAAATATGTAATATTAAATCTATTTAGACTAGTATTATATTTATTTGTTTGGATTTTTTTCAAGCTGATTCTATTCAACTTGAGCTTGAAATTTCTAATGATTTTGAAAGTTTCTATGCCAGAAACGAATGTAATGACTGTACAAATTATATATTGTTTGAAGTGGTATTTGTTCACAAAATCTTAAGTTTGATTGGTTGGCATGATTTATTCATCAAATTTTGGTTATTTTCCACACATGAAATTCATCACGCATGTAGATCAATGGATATACACATTGCATTCGGATATGTAATTACAGAATATAATTTGAATACGAAAAAATACAAATATAAGTGATGTCATAGTTGTGATAACTAATGATAGTAAAAGCAAAAGTTTAGGTGTAAAAATTGGTAACGTGGTGCAAATTAATTTACGTATTTACCTGATATTTGATATTTTGTATTTTTTCATAGGATTTTTTATTTGGTTGATGAAATGATAATCGCTGATCATCAAAGACGAGAGAATTTTAATTCTTCAGGTAACCAGATGACCTAGATTTTGCTAAGAAGGTCCAAGGCCTCTAGTCTATATATATAGTGTTTGTGGTTAGTATGCTATATTGTGTGAGCTTTAGGAATATTTTTATATACTTGTTTTGTACAATGTCTTGTATGTTTTAAATATATTATATTTAAGTTTCTCCAATTTCTTTTGCCATGTTAGCTTACTGAAATTTGTTCTCTTGAAAATTTACGAAGATTTCTTTATTTGTGTATTGAATACCATTAGATAATCTTTATTTTGTGTTTTGTGTCAA